CGCTCAGGTATCTTGCACCTCCAAACTGCACGCAGGCAGATGTAAGATGAAAGACCCTGAACCCACCAGGCCTATACATTATATCACCTCGGTTGGGCTAGCCCCATACTACACAGAAACGTCAACCGAGACGTCTCTGTTACCAGCTTTGCAGCTGGTCATAGCAGTAGTCAAAACATGAAGCAAATCAATGTGTGAATGTGTCTGTTGATTAAGTGGTGTGTAGCTAAAAACATTCTCACATGACCTCTAGTACATGTTGTGATATTAAACATAAGAACATACCTGTAGAAACTCATAAGCATGCCTAAGCATTTAACAGTCTAACTAGACATCCTATCTCCACTAAACATTTCTAATACATAAAGTATCTATCCAATATCTATCTGACTAAAAATACCTAACAATGGAAACCGTGGTGATGTGACCTAACCATTAGGTTATCGGTGGGAATGGATGGAAATGTTTTTCATATTGCCCTTAATTTTTGGAACTCCAGTTACAGTAATAGGTGTATGAATTTGAAGGTTTATAGATAGATGGATAGAATTTAACTACAATAAGCCACTATATAGAAATATAGAAAGAGAAGAAGTAAAGCTGAACTATACTGTTTTATAAAACTATGAGACAGCATTATGCATCTCTAGAAAGTTATTTTCATGTTGGGTTGTGACAGACTCCAAGTAGAAATACAGTGTTCTTGTTTCGAAGTAATCTACCAGGAATGTGTGCTTACGCACTATATCACATTGCTTACAGCAGAGGTTGAGCTAGGTTGAACTTTTTTGACAGATGCTGCCACATTCTCCTGTTGATTCCACTGAATGGTGTGGATGTGTGTTTTTATTCATCTCATAGATGATTAATGGTCACCTGTACAATCCCGTGTGTGTTACTGGCTTAAAGTCAGTGTACCGGTAGCTCTCGGATTTGTTTAGTCCAGCTGCTGGCACTGGCAGTTCAGAATGAGCCCCCACCCCTCACACTTTCACCGACACCTCCTCCCTCCATCCTGTCTGAATGACTGCAGCCCTTATCTCCAAGGACTTTGGACTTGAAGTGGAGAAAGACACAATAAAGGAAAGCTTTTAACAGTACACTGAGGCTGGTGGATTTAGACTTCAGCAGAACAGCTGAATGCTCTTTAATAGGTCGTACATGTAGAGTGGAGCCCATCAGCAGTGCACAATGAAGCCATTCAGCAACTGCTCTCCCCTCACTCTCTCTGTTTGTGTTTCTGTCTGCTTCTTCTATTCTGTTTGACAAAACATATTTACAACTCAGTGGATCCTGCTGAGGGATCAAGTACAGTTTAAGGTCAATTAGATTATCACATTCTAATGTCAAGGCTCACTGCTGATGCTGCTCTGATAACTTTTAAAGATGCTACATTGAATGTGTAGTTTTAAAAGATCTTACTTCACTGGAACTCATTCAACTACAGAAAATCCCAGGAATTGGGGTTAACTCACTTCTGAGTAATAAAAATATGAATATCTTCTGCTCTATAGAGTGTAATAAGAAATGAATAACTGCAAGCAGTACCAAGGACTTGGCAGACACCGCTGGATAGTTTGTGTACTGGCTTTTCAGTGCTGTTCTGGAACATAATTTTTACTTTACTTGAGTATTTTAATATTATACAGCTTTATACTTCTACTCCAGTACATTTCAAAGGGAAATAAACATCTTTCTGTAATATTTGATAGCATTTAGAATTTGCATTAAAATGATGAGCTTATAAAATACAAACTCCATTTCCAGAAAAGTTGGGACATTTTCCAAAAGTACAAAGACAAGGTTTTCATTGTTTTCACTGGGCAGCTTCATTGCATTTTGTAAAAAGAAATGAGTTTAGAATTTGATGTAACTCAAACAGAGGCCTGTTTACCACTGAGTTCCATCATTGATCCTGGTAACTACACTTTTTAATCATTTTGGAGCTGAGGATACTAATTGTTGCAGTTTTGCTGTTGGAATATTGGTCCATT